TTCTTCTTTAGATTGTTCTTTTTTATGTACAGTGTCCTGAGACAACGTATGTTGTGACATGGCGCTATATAAATAAACTTGAACTTGAACTAAGTCAAACTTATCAAAGACTCCTTATTACCTACCTCAGATCATTGATGATAATGCTATTGAGTGTAATTTCATTATTATTAATTTTGCTCATGTCTGCACTGTAATTCAGTGTTTTATCAGTTGTAACTAAAGATGTGAAAGGGGAGTCAAGCATCTTTCATGACTTTCATTTTTAATCCCAAGAAAAGATACAGTAGGTACCAGGGAACATGGATACTGAGGAACATAGGTATGGGTCCAAATATTAACCTCTCCAGCCCCAACGAGTAGGGTTACCATCCTTTTTGTCAAAACCAGTTTCGTTAGTTTGTTTTTCAAATGTAATTAAACCAAAATCCAAAAGGAATGACTGATTTTCTTTTGTTAGTTTCAAGTTATTTCAGCGACCTTTATATTTTGTTTTGTTTTTACAAAATGGTGCATACAAATTAGTTTTAATCTTTATATGCAAGTATTGGAACAACATAATGATCCAACTCGGCAACAGAAAACCAAGACTGTTGAACAGCTAAAAGCTTACATCAAACAAAAACGGGACAACACTTTTCTCCAAAATCTTCAACACTTGGTCTCCTCAATTCCTAGATATTTATATGCTTTTAAAAGAAGAAAGGATGTTTCACAGTGGTAAACATGATCCTGTCTTAAATCTTTTGAGCTATGTTCCTATAATAAAATTCAAAATTACCTAATTTTTCCTTTAAAATTAGTCTCTTCGTTTAAACATTTGATGTGTTTACTGTTTTATTATAAAAAATATGGGTTTGTGAAATTTGCAAATCGGTGCACTTTTTTATTTTCATTCCACACAATATGTCAACCTTTAATAAATTGAGGTTGTTGATTCTGTGTCTGCTTTACTAGAATGTGTTGTGTCACTGGTTTAATAGCATGTGACACACCACAACTTCATGTGCTGACTTGTTTCTCAAAGTGCGGGAAGAGCTTTTATCAACGTAACACTTCTAAAGAATATGCCCAAGGCGTAGGTGTATTTTGCATGGGGGTTAGGAGGGTTATGACCCCCACAATAATTTGATCCAGTGAATATACCCCCTCCCCCAATAAAATTATAAATTTGATGTATGATTAAGCATAATTGCTGAAACATGCAGGGTTTTAGAGCACACCCTCCTCAGTGGTAGAGCTAAAGTTACGCCCTTGTGTAATGATAGCATCTATGTCATGTAAAAACATGTCTTTGCCTGATTGCTTGTCTTGATGCAAGAACCTGCTCTGCTGATTTATCTGGAACACATGGTCACTCAAGTTTTACAAATCTCTCCCCATAAGTATACTTTTATATTAGTTTAGTTTACCTTGGTTTACACCTTACTGTGTGTGCCGTTTTCCTTTCTGTTCACTTACTTAACAAAATTATTTGTTAAAAACCTGCATGTCCTGAACTCTGCAGCCCTTTAAGACCGAGTCACAGAAAACATGCAAATGTCTCAACTTGCCTATCTTTGTTCCAGTGAGAACTTGAATTTCATAGAATTCTCCATTCTCAGATTGCAAGATCTTTATCACTACGCATTGATGAAATAACAACAAATAAGAGTAAAGTACATTCAGACGAACATCTTGTTTATTTGCAAAATTTATAGAATGTGCCAGCAGTACTCAAAAGTGTGAAAAATGCAGTAGTTATAGAAAAATAAAGACTTTTTTTTTTACAATACATGTAAATTAAACATTTTTTTGTCTTTTAAAGCATAGGATTAATTCAAACTATTAAAGTACATTTTCATCAGTTACAGGATCAGTAACTGATTTAGACTCAAATATCCGCTGAAACATCACTTGAACTCTCTGGAGCAGCTGTCTGAACCGAGCAGAAGTGTCCTCATTGACATGGAGGAAAACCAGAGGGTTCAGAGCACTGTTCAGACTCACAAGAGCACGACTGAGCTGATGAGTCCTGAAGACCCCAAAATACCAGTTTTTACACACGTTCTGCTTTTTCAAAACTCTGGAATATAAATTGAGGTTTTTGAACACATGGTGGGGTGTATAACAAACTGAGAAGAGAAAAATCAAAATGAACAACAACCTCAGGCTTCTTTGCTTTCGGACCTTGTTAATTGTATTTTTATGAACGAGAACAAAAATTACATGTCCATAGGATCCCAGTGTGATGAGGAGCGGGATGCAAAATCCAGTGAGAGTCCATCCAAGGTTGTACTTCAGGTAATCCTCAACATATTCCTTTGAAGTGCTGTCATAACACTGAGTCTTGTTTTGGGATGTTTTGGGGTAAAGCATGTCTGGAAGACTTTGAACACCCACCAGGATCCAAACCAGGACTGAGATGATCACAGAGTGAGTCACAGTTAATCTTCCCATCACTCTCACTGGATGGACAATGGACAGGTACCTGTACACACTTATACAGGTGAGGAAGCCAATGCTGCAGTACAGATTCAGGTGGAAACAGAATCTTGTTACCTTGCAGAACTCGTCTCCAAAGATCCATGTACTTTTTTTAAAGTAGTACACCACCAGGAAGGGAAGTGTCAGCAGATACAAAATGTCTGCAAGTCCAAGATTAAGCATAAAGACATTGACATTCCTCAGTTTCTTCCAGTTGTGCAGCAAAGACTTCAGTCCCCATCCATTAGCTACCAGCCCAACGATGAGCACTAAGATGTAAAGAGTAGGCAGGATCCTGTGCTCAAATAGTTCCTTGTCAGGATCAGTGCAGTCAGTTTGATTCATTTTGTCTTTCAAAAAAAGTCTAACCTTTCCTCAGAGGTTATGCTTACAACTGAGAAGTAAATTAAAAAGCTCAACCTATATAACTTCCTCTTTGACACTCTGCCGGCTCGTAGGCAGGTTTTACTTCAGAAACGTCATTGTGCAATGCCTCGCCCCATGTTTTTTTTTTTCTTACAGAGGGAGACGGCATTCAAAACAAGAGTGGGAATGTCAGCTGTTTGTTCATGGAACACAAGGTTACACCATTCAGTTCACAAGTATTTTCTTTATTTCTTAGTAACCTTTTAGCGTGGGCACACTGAACTGTTTGAAATTCTTTAATTCTGAAATAGCTGTTTTTAGCTGTCAATGACATCTATAAACCTCAACTGTCCTGATTTGTTGACCTGTTCAGCTGCATTTATCTACACTGCTCTACTAATAAATTTAATATTTTGTTTTATGTTTATCTAACCATTTTATCAAATATTTTACAAACATCCTGACTGAAAACCTACTACATACTACATAAATTAGATTAATAGATTATAGATTAAAGATTCCTGAAGAAGTAGAAAAAGAGAAAAATGGAGCACAATGAAAGATTAATCTGTCAAGAACTAAAACAAGTTTCATATGACTGCAAATTCAACATATTCCTGATGAGATGAGTCAGTGCTTTAAGTGGAAAAAATTAAGTGTCGGGAATCACTTTAATGTCATCTAAATATGAGATAGAAACAAAGCCAGTTCTAAATCAAATCCATTTGTCAAATTCATCCCTGTTTTTTTTTTTTTTTTTTTTTTTTTTGTGTGTCTTGGAGCTCATTTTACTTGGGTAAAGTTTTGGAAAATGTACTTTCAGATGTAGTTTTACTGCCTTGTACTTTTTACTTTTACTTGAGTAATATTACTATGAAGTGGGCTATAACACCACTCTTTATTGAGTAAAACATCTGGATCTACAGGCCATAATTGTATAAAGAACAAACATGTTTTAACCAAATCTGCACCTGATACAGACACACAACTGAGAATTGTTGTTTGAACACAAGCTTTGTTGATCTAACGTTAATTTCTATCTGCTGAGCTGCTGGGACATTTGAAAATGAAAAAGATAAAGTAAATAATATAAGTTGTCATTAGATGTATATTACGGGTCCCAAGAATGGTACCATAGCAATAAAGATAATCCACCTGTAAACAGGAGAATTAAGACTAAGATGACACAGGTTGCTGGTGATCAGCTCCTCCTCTGAAGCACATCTGCAGGCAGAGCGGTGGCCCCCCGCCCTCAGCGGGACAGATGCAGCGGTCCGTGTCACACGCTCACAGGCATTGGTCTGTCTCAGTGCAATAGAGATCCAACAACATTACTTATTAGATAAAACAAACACGGAAAAAAAAAAAAAAACAATAAACAGACTTACGTATGTGGTCAAAAAGAAAAAAATTGTATAGGTCCTCTGGACGGGTTCTTTTCTAATGAAACGTTTCGTCTCTCCTCCAAGAGACTTCTTCAGTCTGAGAGTTTCAGGCAAAATTCAGGCTTTTAAGCCCTGCTTCCATGTGACTGATACTCACATCACATGGCTATCGTTGACACCTAATTAACACTTATTGTTAACAGGGGGTGGAGTGATACTTGCAATAGCAGCGCTGTAGGAGGGGGACAACTGAAAACGGAGGCCTCCACCTCTGTTTAATGATGGACGGTCTTTCTTCACAAAAATGGCTTCTTTTACTCCTCTCTCAAACCAACGTTCCTCTCTATCAAGAATGAGAACATCCTCATCTCTGAAAGAGTGACCGCTGGCCTGTAAATGAGTGAAAACTGCAGAGTTCTGGCCATTAGATGTAGCTCATCTGTGTTGGGACATTCTTTTGAACAGTGGCTGCTTTGTTTACTGAGATGCATCAGGACATTTTAAACCATTTTGGCCAGGATTGCCTGAAACTAGTTAGAGAGTTTGAGCAAACAGCAAGAAAGAAGGCGGACTACAGGAACCACCTAAGATTCAATCTCCGTTGCATTTACTGAGATGCATCAGGACAGACTTATGTGGTCACCTTACTTTCTTTATCCTGTTCTAGCATACACATTGCCTTCTGAATTAGTTTATTATATGTAATCTTTTGAAATAGTTTTGGAAAGTGCTTTTTGCCTTAATTTATTATTTTGTAATTATGATATTTATTGGTATAATGCATTTTTTCATTTTATTCTTTAAAATACCAAACTTAAATAAAACTTTTTACTTTTTGTCTGTCTGATGGCATCATTTTAAAATACTAAATCAGATGTTCTGCTCAGTTATTCAGTTTAGGGAAGCCTTTTTACCAAATACTTTTTTACTCGAGTAATTTCTTCAAGATATACTTCTTACTTTATGTTTTAATTGTTTTAATGTTTAATTAACCCTATAAAGCCTAACCCTTTAAAAATAGTTAGAAAATTCACATTTTTTAGAACTGAAATGCTTATTGGGCCTTTAAACAAAATCCAAAAAAAAAAAAAAATTTCTTTGCCATCACTTTGTTTATGATACATTTTTTTTGTATCAAATCTGATACACTGAGCTGTTTTGGTAACATTTTGCTCACAACAAAGTTAAATTAAGGAACAAAAGACAGTTTTTGCCCATAACTTTTAACAAGTTTAGAACACTGTAGGAAGTTAACTTCGTTGTTTGTTTGTTTTTTTATAATGAACTTTTTACAGCCATTTATTTTACTTCATGGTAGACACAAAAAACAGTTTCTGTCCTTGTTCAGGCACAGATGTACCTTACACTTTATAAAAAACTGCCATCTATTATCATATTGATGACATTTTCTTACTTTATTTTTTCACTCTTCTTCCTCAATTCTCTTTGACATCTAACACGTAAATATTTAGTCATTACAGCGTAGAGATTATAATTTCAAAGGAACCACTTTGAAAATAGCCAAAATGTGTTTAAAATGGCATTTCAGTAATTAATCAATCATCCAATATAGTGTGTGTTGTATATTGTGGCAAGAATACTGTTGATTAAATTACTACAATTACTAAAATGTCACATGACAATTCAGGACTGGAGCACCTTCTGAACCTGCAGTATCAACTTTGATACACAAATTTTTAATACGGTTTAACTGTACTATTAAAAATATTTTTAAAGTAATTATGCAGTGTTTCAACACAGAAAGTATTTATTAAAAAATACAAACAAAATTGATGTTATTCTTACCATAACTTCTCCAAAATTAGCAAAAGTTTTCCTGAAAAAAATGTGTGGATGACCTCATGTCAGCAGACATTTTGAAAAGGAAAAAAAAGTTCCACTTCCTGCAGTACATTGATAATCCACCAGAGGGCAGAATACAGGTCTCAAATGATGAACAAGTTTTTGAGGAAAATATTGACCACGTTGATAAAATATAGGTCACAGAATCCTGTGTAGCAAATATGATTTTAACGCTAATTTGGTCATATTAGTCATTATGTTTCCAAAGTTTATTCTATGCTTCCCGTTTTCAGTTTGAGCACCAGGCGTGTTTTTAAAATTTGCAGGTGAAAAACAAGCTTTTCAAGAACATAATGACCAAACCAGTCCTGAGACCAAGAACATGCAGGCTGATGATGAACACAGACCTTTAAAGGGTCAGATATCTGAGGGGTTTGAACGTTTGATGGTAAAACTAAATTGGCTGAACAAACACTTCTATCTACTGGAGGAGTGGTAGAACTACATGGGCAAATACCCACATGGCCTTTCTGACATCTCAGCTGCATTTTTTACAAGCTCGCAGTATATTTAGGACAAATTTGAACCCACTGTATGCGTTGTTGTTTATATTTACTCTTAGAAAAATGGTGGGAAAATTAAAAGTTAATCAGCTGCAGACACATATCCAATGATTACATTCTGAGAGTTTCATTAAAATGTGTTCAGAAGTTCATGAGAACTGTTTTCTAACATCATCAATACTTTATGGCAATTTTTTAAACAAGGAACTGGATGTTTTTTAGGAGTTACCATATGTCCTAGGGCTCAATGACAGCAATCCTGATCCAAAATGACCCCTAAATTTCACCCTGTTGTTTATTGGCTCATTTATCAGTTAATTTCACAGCTTTTCTTTGCACTTCAGTTCAGACCTTTCCAGTCCTGAATTGCTCATCCTCATCACCAGTTTCTTTGTGACGGTTGTAATAAGATAGGAGATACTGTAAAGTCAGATCAGTCCATCAGATCTTCTTCAGTCTCTTCTGTTCTGTGCAGAATGACAAAACACCATATCAGTCTTCACTAAAACCTCTGTAACTTTGCTCTAGTTTTGGGGTTGTTGTCCTGCTACAGGGGGTTCAAACTCAGCTACACAAGAGGGCCAAAATTCTAAACTTGGTTCAAGCCAAGAGTCAATATCTGTCAGTTTTTTACTGAAATAAATATTATATTACAAAATTACTCAAATATAAATACAAATGAGCTTTTTAACAATTTATATATTATGTATTATTTAGAAATACATAACCTGATGAATAAAGAAAAAGATTAAATTTAGCATGCAGCATTCTCATGCCTTTCTTTCAACAACTTCATTTCTTTCTTTCTTCTGAGATACATTTGATTACAATACAGCAAATTAGTTAAAAAACAGAAAACTCATCCTAAAAACCAAAGTTATTTTACTTTAAAATAAGTCGAATATTCTGAAAAAGATCACTTCATTCTCTGCTGCTATCTTCACACCAAAATCCAAGATTGCTGGAAAAATCCACTTCATTTTCTTAGTTTGAAAGTTGGCCAGCTGGTATGAGAAGAATATGAAAAAAAAATACATTTCACATTTAATCTATTATATTTGAGGCCAAATAAAATGCTAACAAGGGCCAGATTTGGCCTTGGGGTTGACACGTGTGCCAGGAGGTGAACCTCTGCTCCAGTCTCAGTTTTCTTCCATCCATTGTTCCATCATCTCTGACCAACGTCCCTGTCCCTGAAAGCCATTCCAACAGCACGATGCTGCCATCTCTGTGTTTCAGTATATATATATTTTTTTGTTTTGTTATTTTGCAGGTGGGTGCATTCACGGCGTTTTGCATTTAGGCCAAAAATAAAAAGACATGCAGCTTCTGCATGTTTGCTGTTCTTTCAGGAGTTGTGCCAAACTGCAAACAAGACTTCCTATGATTTTTGGCTGTCACATTCAAAGGGTATCCATGTTTTGGCAGGTTTGCAGTTGTGCCAAACTTTTCACACTTTCAGATGATAATTTGACCTGTGCTCTGTGAATGTCTAGCCTGGCCCTTGCCTTCCTACGCAGCTCCGCTCAATTCTAGTTTCCCTTCACTGCTCCTTGTACGAAGCAAAGTGAAGGACAGGGTCTGGATTAAACCAGGCTAGTGAGTGGTTAAACGTAGGGTTTTTGTTTTATAACCTAAATCTGTTTTGAACTTCTCAGTTATCCCTGATCTGTCGGATGTGTTCCTTGGCCTTCATGATGCTGTTTGATCATTTAATAATTCAGTGCCATATAAAGGGAGTTATAATGGATTTTAGTTATGGGTTGTTTTTCTTTCGGCTGCTCCTTTCTACAGGAAGAGGACTCACTGTTGTTTTAGATCGCATGCCCCTCTTGATGTTACTTCAGGATGACCAGACCTGACTACCACTAAGCCTGGATTTCATTTACAAATACGCATCTTTTTATTCAGATGTTTTTTTTTTTTTGCAAAATGCTTTGAAAAGCATAATTTTCTTCCACTTTCCACTTCTAAAAGCACCATTTTGTGCTGGTCTGTCACATGTAAAAACAATAAAATACTTGGAAGTTTGTGGCTGCTACGTGACAAAATTCATTTTGAAGCCCTGTTAGATGAAATGTAATAAACATCAGTTCATTTTTAAGTGAACATCTTGCTTTATTTTCCAGCCATTTTATCTACATTTGGAATCATTTGAAATGATGCTGTTGTAAAAGACAGCTGACTTTTAGTTCAGCGATATAAGTCTGAGAGAAACGGTTTCTTCAGCAGAGAAGGGAAACATTTGAGCAAACACGTTACAGCACAGCGTGATTATGAAAAACTCCAACTCTTGTCAGGGAGAAGATGGATATGAGACAAGAGAAACACAGAATTTTCAGGTGAAAAAAAATGACAGTGAACAGCTGAGGTCCAGAGCTGGTTTGCAGATTTCTTGCCAAATGTCTCCTTTACACGCAAAGCAAAGATGGGCCCCTCAGCAGGGCCACTCGCTCTGCTCTTTATAAAGTTACGCAGCTCTCCGTTTGCTTTACTGTTTTCCCTCCTCCATGTTGAATTCAGGCTGCACTACAGAAAAAGATTAAATATTTAAACTGTTTTCTGGTGAGGAAATCGAAAGTGGTGATATATATATATA